CAACAGCTGATCAAGCTTAAATGTGCTGCTGTTGTTTAACGCGACATCCGCTGGTTTCCTCTTTCGGCGCAAAGTGAGCGATAAACAAACAAGAGAGAAAAGCCGATCAGCTGATCATTGATCAGTTTTCATGACTTAAGTAGAAACGGGAGAGGGAGGGGGGGAGAATGAGAGAAGAAGAGGCAGCTGTGCAGCAAAGACACAGAATAAACTCCAGCTTTGTGCCTTTTTCATTGTAGCTGAATTACGGGACAAACTGTTCCTTTTCACCTCAATAACAAACGCGTAATATTTTCTCTGAATACCAGACGGGACGGTTGGCAACTCTAATAACTTATGAACAAAATAAAGTTCAACATCATTAACTTCATAACACCCACCCAGCTTTATAGAAACTCCGTCATGCTAGCTAGCACGCAGTACGGAAAAAGTCAGCACAACGAAAATAAACTCCACCTAAACTTGGTTCATATCTGACCCAGAGAGACTGCAGGTCATAACTTCTTACCTGAAGTTCAGTTCACACTTGGACCGGCGGCCGCCTCGGGTCTCTTTTCCTTCTGCGTCCCTTTTCCTTCATCCACCTGCTGGCCTCCACCACTTGCTAATGTTACTGAATCTGTGGAAGCTACGCGATAGCCACCACACGAAGTAACGAGTAACGACCCTATCTAAATCCCAGTAACGACTAACGCATTCCTGGTTTTGGCATAATAACTAGTTACCGTGCTCGTTACCACAATAATAACGTAGTTACTGTAACGCATTACTTAATAACGCGTTAGTCCCAACACTGTTGATATCTCATCAATGCAGGCTGCACCTCTCTTTGGTTAAATACGGCCATTACCATGAGTCTAAACACAATATTACTGTAGTTAGCTAACGTTAAATGAAACATTAGTGTTAAAAAAAAGAAATACAAATGAACGTTTTCATTGACAACGTGAAATGTGTATCTTCAAATACAGTAAGATTAGTTAGCTAACTTTTGACTAATGTTAGCCTAGCTGCTATCAACGAATCAGCGTAACATGCAGAAAACACGTGTAGTGCTAGTTAGTTAACTTTATATTTTACTTATGCATCCATGTAACTGAACATATATATATAAATAACATTACTACACTCACAGAAAATTCCAAAATAAATAAAGTATTTTTACCGAGGCGGCCGCCGGTCCGAGTGTCAGGTGAACTGAACTTCAGGTAAGAAGTTATGACCTGCAGTCTATCTGGGTCAGATATAAACCAAGTTTAGGTGGAGTTTATTTTCGTTATGCTGACTTTTTACAGTCAGTTACAATAACTCGTACTGCGTACTAGCTAGCATGACGGAGTTTCTATACAGCTGGATGGGTGCTATGATGTTACTGATAGTGAACTTTATTTTATTCATAAGGTTAGTTAGTAGAGTTGCCAACCGCCCCGTAAAAAACGGAATTCAGAGATGTAGTCAGAGAAAATATTACGCCTTTCGTATTGAGCTGAAAAGGAGCTCAGTTTGTCCCGTACTTTAGCTAGGATGGAAAAAGACACAAAGCTGGAGTTATTCTGTTTCGTTACGCTGCACAGCTGCCTCTTCTTCTCTCATTCTCTCCCCCTCCCTCTCCCGTTTCTACTTCAATCATAAAACTGATCAATGATCAGCTGATCGGTTTTTCTCTCTTGTTTGTTTATCGCACACTTTGCACCAGAAAGAGGAAACCAGCGGATGTCGCGCCAGACAGAACCAAAGTGTGAGCAGTTGTTAGAAGACGAACATCACCCATCTTGAACATCCATTGATCTGTATAGTGCACTCTATGTAGTATTTTGTAGTGTATTAATTGTAGGCTGGGATATCTAATCAATTTAAAGGTTTTTGAGCATTTCTGAGACCAGAGGTTTTGCTGTATAACTAGTCTGTCAAGCGGAATAAAGTCTGTTCTTTCTAATGTATATTCAAAGTATTTAATTCCTTTTCGACGCCAATCTGGGAAGTTAATCATATCATTGTTCTGTAGTATGTCAGGGTTGTTCCAGATAGGTGTACATTTGCATGGGATTAATGAAGACCTTTTTAGAAACTCCCACCATGCTGTCAGAGAAGAGCTGATGTTGATGCTTTTAAAGCATTCATGTTGTTTGATGTTTGAGCTGATAAATGGAAGGTCTGAAATCTCTAGATTATTACATAGTGCCTGTTCTGCATCTAGCCAGGGCTCATCTAAGAGGGCATGTTTTAAACATCCTGAGATCAATTGTAGCATATGTAACCCACATAAAAATAAAAAGAACTGCATCTATAACTAAATCGGAATCTTAAATTCCAACCGGAGCGTGTCCATGAAGGCATCGTGACGCGTCATGACGCACGCCACGCCGCGAGACTGCACGTGCCTGTTGTGACCAATCCTATTCGCGAGGCACTATTATATGCCTTCCGGGTTGTCGCCTCGAAACGACGCGGGGGAGAGGCGTTAGCGGATGGAAGCAACAGGTACGTGGGGTGAGCGCTTTTCGAGATTGTCATTTATTTTAATTCATTACAATGGTTGGATATGTATTTGTTGTATTTTCTCATGGATTTCATTGTGTACACTGGAACTAAAGCTAGCTTGGGAAATTTAGATGAATTTTGCTAATGGTGGTCTTGTGATTATAGTGCAGGCTAGTGGTGCCCTGGAGAGACCACAGCGACACCACTACTTTGGATGGTGAGCTAGGCCCAATGAGCCAGAACCCCAGCTATAACTTCCTGCGGTCTGGTAGGAGGCTGCTGCGGCCTACACTCTCCCCTCTTGGTTTTCAGTCCCCTAAATCTCACTTTCGAGATCTCAGTCTTGGAATCTTAGTGCTGATCATCATACTTCCAATTTCAACCTGTCTAGACTGTCATACGCGTTGGACTTATATCAATCGTGAAATAAACTTTATGGACATTGTTTGCCAGAGGTTGGACGAGGTTGCTGCACCGCTGTGCAGCGGATATTTTACAAGCTTGAATTATGTTTTATCTTTTCCTGTCTGCAGATTTTGTAAATATTGGTATTTGGTAATTGCACTTTATTTTCACTATAAATAATAACTGTAATCACAATATCTGTGGTTGTATGTTTATTGTACTTCACTCACCTCCTAGAGCCGAATCTGATATCTTCTGAATTAGCCCAACTACTCATAACCAACTTAAATTATTTTAGCTTATGTACTTGCTACACATAGTTGCTAAGAAGTTAGGCAGATCCTCCTTTATCCTTGATCCTCTGTAGCATTTTGGTGGTGCCGACTGAAGCCCCATACCCATGAGACGGCATCTAAGACTGAAGGTGTTCTAAAACAAAAACATCTTCAATCTTTCGTCTCCTTGAACTCCACATAACTAACCATTTGGACTTTGCAAAAGAGCACCAAGCACGGGAAATTGAAAGGTGGAAGAAAGTTTTCTCTGAGAAAAAATGTAACCTTAATGGTCCTGATGGTTTCCAACGTTACTGGCAAGACAAGCAGATCCCGCCTGATATGTTTTGAGGATGATGGTCTGGGGTGCTTTTTCCTTCAGTGGAACAATGGAGCTTCAGGAGGTGCAGCTGTGTCAAACAGCTACTGGCTATATCCACATGTTGCAGAGAGCGTCCCTCATGACTGAGGGCCCACCTCTGTATGGTAACAACTGGGTTTATGGGTTTATCAACAGGACAGCGCTACAGCACACAATGCCCACAGGACAAGGGACTTCTTCCAGGAGAATAATCACTTACAGAGGATTGGCTCTCTCTTGAATTTATGTAAGCATCTTGCACATATTCAACACAGTTGCCTCATGCTTTAAAGTTAAGTGTAACTGTATATTGTTCAACACACTTGGTGAGAGCAAACTTTGGTTAAATCTTCAAGGTACTAATCACAAAAATCTTTAACAATAAAAACAAAAAACAAAGCCCAATGTCAAGTCTATTTGATACTCCCTTTATGACAAGAAATTCTCTAGGACACAAACAAATAGTGTAATTCTTTGGTAAGTCTTTCCAATGGCCTCTATGTAGAGTTCAGTCATACAGTATAGGGTGATCCTGGATTTTTCTTTTAGAGCAGGATAGAGCAGGATGTATTCTCCATCTCCCATATCCATATCATGGTTGATTTCATGGTTGAGTCTTTCAGTTTTTTAATGGCAGCACCCAAGAGCTTCTCAGATGACCAGCTTGGTTCAACATTTAATGGTAGTGCTTTCCCTCTTATGGGTCTCTTGTCAGTCTTTGTTTTGTTCATCATCCCAGCAAAAAGATAGATTACATATTAGAAAAAATGATGGTGGTCACAGGTTGAAAACCTGTTGTCAGACAACAAAATAAAAGTTTTCAAATCTTTTTTAATAAAAACCTTCACTGTTTTCTTTGATTTCTTTTTTTTTCTTTTTGGATTTTGAGAACATCCTCCTTTCTGCCTCTTTACCTTCAGGGTATTTGAACAAATGCTGAACAAATGACTTGGCTGAAAGGAGGGAATGAGAGGGAGATAGTAAGAGGCTCTTCATTAGTTTATCTTTGTATATAACTCAAAAGCAAACATGATAAAGTTAATACTGAAAAACATATGAATATAGTATACATAAAACACCACCTCTTCCCAGTCAGATCCACCACAAACACGTTTTTGCTTTCAGAAATGTAGATTTATCAGTCATATCACACCGGATGTCTACAATTTCCCAACTACAAACAAATTCTTTGATTTATGACACTATTTGCTTATACATGAGTACAGATCTGAAAAGTTCAAACACCAAACATGTGAACAAGTCTTGCCCTCTTCATTTTATTTTCTTACAAAACTAGTTAGACTTAAAAGATAACAGCCGGTGCAGAAAGTATTACCTCTTTAGTATTTGAGGTCTGCTGCTGTGGCAGCAGCTTTAGCCAGGACAAAGCTGTTTTTTTCCACATGAACAATGAAATTTGTTTTCAAACTTAAACCCACAGAATGGACAATGCATCTTGCCCTGAAAAACACAAGTTGTCTGAGTTTAGTTGTTTATTTCACCTAAAGCAAAACAGCAGTCATATAAACCCTCATGTGTGTTTCAACAGATGACAGATTTTCAGGCTAATAGTGAACATCTAATAGCAAACCTATATCTATAGTATTTTCATTCCTCACAAATCTGAAAAATTCTCCACTTCTTTTAAGTGTCTCCCAGAGCAATGCTTAGCATGTTTTGGTGTTTATGTGTCCTTTTGCAGCGTTTTTCTGTTTGCTGGTGTTTTCTAAAGTTGCAGTCCATTTGGCCTCTCATGGCCACCGTACCTTCCAGTTTCAACATAACTTTGCACCAGTGAACCAAGTAAGGTTCATAAAGACATGGTTGAGCAAATTTCGTGTGGAAGAATCTTACTGAACTACAAAGAGTCCTGTCTACAACCCGATAGAACAGTTTTGGATTGAATTAGAGCAGAGCTTCTTATCCCACAGTGTCTGACCTCACAAATGTGCTTCGAGAGAAATAGTGAAAAGTTACCATAAATACACTACTAACACTCCCAGAAGGGTTGAAGGTTTTATAGCTGCAACGGGTGGGTCAGCATTGTATTAAACTTCTATGCATGTGAAAGCAGAAAAGAAAATAATTTTGGCAATATAGTGCATTTTGCAAGGTTAGAAACTCTAAGCAGTAATTAACACTTTATTCAAAGCTGAGGTGACCACTGTGACATTATTTTTGTTTTATTTGCTTTTTGTACGAGACAAAATCACTATTAGGCTGATGATGTCTGAACTGAGGCCTTCATTTTTGATGACGCGGGTTATACCCTGTTTATGGCAACTCTATCTATGTATCCAAGGACCCGAGTTATATAGGTGAATGAATGAATGTGTAGATAGAGGATACACTGATACACTTTAGTCCCTTTAATAGATGATGTTGGCACCAGATGTAATACACAATGCCTCTGCTCCAGGCTCAAGGCCAGTTACAGCATTTGCAGTTGTCATCAAAGACAGATCCAGCTCCACACTGCCCCACGTGGGTGTTGCCACCAGAACACATGTAGAAGCTGGCTTTGTCATCTGGGTGGGGATATAAGCCATCAGGTTTCCCATTGCAGAATCCAGTTCCTGGGGCATGGGTAGTAGTGGTGGTGGTGCTGGGTGGGGAAGTGGTGCTCGCTCCAGGTTTTGGGGTGGTGGTTGAGGGTAGTGGGGGAAGCTCTTGACAGTACAGATCAAAGGAATTATGTGTTATTGGTGGTTTTTCATTCATGTGTATCAATAAGCATGAATCCCTTAATGCGTAACTGGCTAAAACACAACCTCACCCTAACCCAACCCACTGTTGACCTATTAACATGAATTCTTCATTACTCCAATCGCTACATGAAGAACATTTACTGCCCTCGTACAAAAGTTTTACTAGTTCAAAACTGTATCGAACATATTTGGATTTTTATTGACTGTTGTAGTAACATCTTATCTAAATTACAGAGGTTCTTATGATAACAGTTCCACACTAATTTATTAAATATATATAGACTAAAATAATTAATCTATATGAATCTGCTTTGGACATACCAATTTCAAGAAGGTTGCGCAGATGAGAGAGCAGAGGATGGGGACCCTCCCCGCAGAATTTTCCTGCAAAGTCATCCAAATCAAGAGCCCACACAAAGGCCCCGCCAAACTTCTGATCTTTCAGGTAACGTACCTATTGGGGAAAAATTAAACAGAGATTGATATCACTACCTTGTACATACACAAATGTGTTAAACAAAAAGAAATGATGCAAGCTTTCTCACTTACCTTGGTTTCATAGCTCTCCTTGTTGTCAAATCCTACCCACTCATTGTTTTTGAAAGCATAGGGGACTTTCTGGTCTTCAATCCAGTTAATGGTGCTGCCTTTCACAAAGGTACAGATCTACAGCACAGACTACATGGTTAACATTTGTCGTTTTATAAATATCATTAGATATCAAAGCAACATATGCTATACATCATGAGGCAATCATTAAATTCCAGCCTTAAGAAATGTACCTCATAATAAGACCAGAATCCAGCTTCACGGGTGTATGGACCAGCTGATGCTGGGCCGCTAGCTGGAGCACCAACACCAGTGTTTGATGATGTCAGGCGGAAGGTACGACCATAAGATGCAAATCCCATCCTCAGCTTCTCCAGTGGGGTGCCATTGTCTCTCCAATATTTCATGGCATAGTCCTATAGAAGTTAAAAAATGTGAAGTTTGTGTTCATAAGAAGTTACCTGTTAAAGTTACAGTTATCTTTTAAATGAATCTTATTTCAGTTTTAACGCTTTACTTACAATGTTGAAATAGATAAGGTCACCAAAGTCCTGAGATCCACGGTACAAAGGGCTGTTGTGTCCAGTGAATTGCTCCCAAGTTCCATGGAAGTCGTAGGTCATTATATTGATGAAATCTAATTCTCTGCAATAAGGAAATAAACATAAACAGTGACTTTCATGCTTACATTGCACAACTGTCAGATTTCTAAAAGTAGTAGATGAAGTAAGATGGTTTATAAAGCAGGACCCTCACTTGGCTATCTCAGCGATCTCATATCCAGCATCAATGGTTCCTTTTCCAGCAGCAACAGCAGCAGTTAGCATGAGCTGGGGATTGCCGGTAGCTTGGGCTTCAGCTGCAAAGGCAGCAACAAGTTCCTATAAAAGTTCACCACATAACAGTGTAAGAATGGAGTCCATGGGGTGGCTGTAGTTTAGGAGGTATAGCAGATCATCTACCGATTGGAAGGTTAGTGGAATCAGTCCATTTAGCATTTACCATTCAAGTATGATACAAACGAAACAACATCAATGAGATGTAGATTTTAAAAAATGGAGATCTATACCCACCCTGCAGAGCAGAGTAAACCTCTGTTTGTCCTCAGGAGGACTTCCACGGGATCCAGGGTACTCCCAGTCCAAATCCAGACCGTCAAATCCATGAGTCCTCAGAAATCTGATAGTAGACTGGATGAACTTCTGACGATTAGCTGCAGTAGAAACTGTGATGGAGAACCTGCAAAAAAACAAAAAAACACAAAAACCAAGTTAACATTTGATCTTTATAGTAAAATCTGCTTAGTGCTTTATGTCTTTAACAGGAGAATTGTGATTAATGTTTGCTGTGTTTAATAATGGAAACTTCTTTTTGATTTTGATTTGATTCAGACTGATGGTTTACACACAATATTTGGTTAGCTACGTACCATTGTCCTAATGTGAAATAATTTTCTTTCTTTAAAGTATTTCTTACTGTGTTGACCCAAAGTTCCATCCACCAACGGCCAAGAGAGTCTTCAGGTGGGGATTCCTGGAAACAGCAGAAAACTTGTAATATCATTAAAGAAACTGTAATATCTTAGTGGAAAACTCTTAAAGACACGATACGCTCAAGAGGTATTGTGTTTTGCTTTACCTCTGACCTATAGGATAATATCCACTTACTTGGTCTTCAGATCATTGAAAGACTTGTAGAGGACGTCGTCATTCCACTCGTAGGTAACCAGCTCATTGTTGTAGTTGATGATGGAGAATGCATAGATGAGGGTGGTGCATAGGAAAGGGTCCACATTTTGTGGCAGAAACTTTCCATCTCCAGGCCTGTACTGGGACCAGTTGGTGAAGTAGCACTCCATCCTGCTGGCAGATCCTGTGGTGGTGTAATATTAATAAAGCACAGGTCCCAGTAGTGATACACAAGTAGTGATCAAAATTTATTTTCTTTAACAAAAAAGAAACAGAAAAAAAACTTACCCAGCTGGCTCATCACCAGACACAAACCTAAGAAAAATTAGAATGTAGGCAAAAGCATGATAAAATAAATGTCAGTGTTTACATTTATATTGTATGCATGCAATAAGTTCCCAAAATACCTGCTACAACTGTGAGCCTGGCCATCTTAGAGTGACTTCTTAATATTTCACTTGATGACTCTAAGAGAAAAAATGATGTCAGTTCTACAAATCAAGCAACACTATAAAAGCTACAACCTCCCACCCACCTACCCACCAGCAAAAAAAGAAAAGAAACCATGATTAAGAGAGAATAAGGGCTGTGCCCCTTGTTCATTTACCGTCAAACCAGAAGAAAGACCCAAACAGCCGCAACAAAGTTTGGCCTTTTATACACCTGATTGTTCTACGAACACAAAGACAATATAGCAGTCTTTCGTAAATCTAGGTCATAAGTGTACTGATTATTAGGACATGCTTTGATAAGAGATTGCTTAGTCTTAGCTATATGTAGGCAATAATTTACTCATTGTGGCACGTATATGACCCTGGTGTACCTTGGGTCACCGGTCACATATCATATCGTTATATAGTATATTACATACAGGGGGTAAAGTAAGTATAGAACATGTCACCAATTTTCTAAATAAATATGTTTCTAAATTTGCTACTGACATGAAATTCTTATCAGAATTCAATCGCTAACAACCCATCCGATCCACACACGCAAAGAAATCAAACCATAGATGTCCGTAAATTATGCAAAATAATAAGAAATAATACAGGGGGGAAAGTATTGAACACACACAGAAAGGAAGTTGCAAAAACAAAAACCAGTCAAGACACTCGCAGAAATCCATCAGTAACTTGAAAGCAATTCTGTCAAGAATTAGTAATTAGCTGGTTCAGTCCCAACTGATGGCCTATAACCTATAAGAAACACCTCATGATAGATAAAACCAATGAGCTCTCTGAGGACATACTGATAGCACTGGTTACAGAAGAATTTCTAGGCTACTGAAGGTTCCAGTGAGCACTGTTGGGGCCATAATCCAGAAGTGGAAAGAACATCGTAAGAAGACACTGAATCAGCAAGTACAATTGTTCCAAAGAAGACAATAAGTTACTCACTCCACCGCCATGCTCACTGCGTAAGACTCCAGTGTTGAAGAAAAAGCATGTTGAAGTACATTTAAACTTTGCTTTTGGATGCCATAATACACGTGATGTTTGGGTGTCAAAAAACACTGCATATCACCCCAGAAACTCCATAAGAACAGTGAAGTTTGGAGGTGGGAACATCGTGGTGTGGGGCTGTTTTTCAGCACACAGCAGTGGGACACTTAAACTGAAGAAAGGGTGAATGGAAAAGTGTATTGAAACATTTTTGATAAAAATCTGCTTCCATCTACCAGGATAATGAAAATGAAATGAGGGTGGACATTTGAGCAAGACAGTGATCCCACACACAGCCAAGGAAACGCTCAATTGGTTTCATGGTTATTCATTAATTAAATATAGGATGATATGATACCTGATAGAATTTTTGTTTTGGATACAAATCATATTGTTATGCTGTCATGTTCCAGATTAAAGTCAGTCTTAAAATGAATCATTGGAGGAAGTATTTATTCCTTTATGTTTTTTCTATTCATTCATTTCAACATTTTATTCTCATAATACAAGATAGAAAATAATTCCTACCTGGTTTATGACTGTGCTAATAATAAAGGTTTGAATTTATTCTCAAATAACTCTTGTTTTTACTTAACCCCTCTTCTTTTAGTTGGGTTGGAGGTTGTTAAAGTGGATGACCTTATTGTTGTTTCAATAATAAAGTTTGGTTGAAGGTTGGTGGTTTGATTCCTGAAAAGAAGCCTTCTTTTTTTTTAATGTGTGAAGTTTTGTAGACCCAAGTATACAACATGTGTATGTCAGCTTTGTGTCTTTATATAATATAATAATATATAAGATATAATAATAACATGAAAATTTGATGTCAGTTGTTATGGAAAATCATTAGTTTCCAGTTGTAACTGATAAATTAAAAAATTAAAGCAAATAAAGCACGATTATATCATAATACAAAGTACATCGATCATATGGGTGCATTTTGTGATGAAGTGAATGACTCCAATGACTGATACCTAAACATAATAGAAGAAGTATGAAAAATAATAATCACTCAATGTTTGTCAGCTATGTGACAATAATAAAAAAGATGATCATAAACTGAGAAACATCATGACATAACAATATAGAAGTGCCCATCTTCTAAGATTAACCGCGTTGATTATTTTATATCTCTCCTTTGTTGAAGACTGGCCACGACCTTTCATCATGAAAATGTTTCACAGCTAGTGCCATAATTAACATTTAGGTGATTTGGAAATAGGCTTGAGTGAATACACGTTATCCTGTGCAATAAACAGATTTACAATGGTGTGACGTTTGCGTGTGCTGGAACAAGTGATAAACCACTAACAAACTTTCAAATGAGTGGAAAGGAAAAAATAATACAGGTGATTCTGATCCCCCACCTGCTGCATGAATTTACATTGTCAACAAATCATTCTTGACTGTTTTCAGATTTCTTTTTTATTTCATAAAGTGTTTTGAAACAACAAAATATACCCTTTATTTAAAAAAAACAAAGAAAGAGATTTTCCTTGCTTGTGCAATCAGTTAGTGCTCACTCCTTCACATTATCTTATCACTTATCACTGTAAGATAACGTAAGGCCATCTATCTAAACATTATCCTTTTAGATGGCACAATATCCCCTGTGCTTTCCCTTACAAACCCTAGAATTTCTACAGTTTGCCTCAATGTTACACATAGTTTTCAGGGTGTGAAATAAAGTGTGCAAATTAAAATTAAAAGGGTGCTTAAAAATTAATCTTCAAAAAATAAAATAAAATACAAAACACAAACAGAACATATGATACATATTCTGTTTGTTCCATTTATGATTGCTTGACTGATAAACCTGCAACTTAGATTATACTACCAAAAATATTCGCTCATCTGCCTTTGCATGCATATAAATTTAAATGGCATCCCATTCTAAATCCATAGGGCTCATTATAATGTCAGGCCACCCTTTACATCTACATCAGCTTCAGTTTTTTTGGTAATGCTTTCCACAGTGTTAGGAGCATGTTTATAGGAATTTTTGACCATTCTTACAGAAGCACACTTGTGAGGTACTGATGTTGGACAAGAAGACTTTGGCTCACAGTCTCCACTTTAATTCATCCCAAAGGTATGCTATTGGAACGACTTCAGGACTCTGTGGACTTTTTCCACTCCAAACTCATTCGTCCCTGTCTTTATGGACATGGCTTTGTGTACTAGTGTGCAGTCAAGTTGGGACAGGAATGGGCCATCCCCAAACTGGTTCCACAAATTTGGGAGTTTGAGGCCCCAGTCCGCGAGATCTTCAACGCACACCTCCGGCAGAGCTTCAACAGCATTCCCAGGGAGACTGGGGACATTGAGTCCGAATGGACCATGTTCAGCGTCTCCATTGCAGAAGCTGCTGCATTGAGCTGCGGCCGCAAGGTGGTTGGTGCCTGCCGTGGTGGTAATCCCCGAACCAAATGGTGGACACCAGAGGTGAAGGGAGCCACCAGGCTGAAGAAGGAGTCCTATCGGGCTTGGTTAGCCTGTGGGACTCCGGAGGCAGCCGACAGGTATCGACAGGCCAAGCGGAATGTGGCTCGGGCAGTGGCTGAAGCAAAAACTCGGGTGTGGGAGGAGTTCGGAGAGGCCATGGAAAAAGACTTTCGGACTGCCTCGAAGAGATTCTGGCAAACCGTCAGACGTCTCAGGAGGGGAAAGCGGTGCTCTACCTGCACTGTGTATAGTGCTGGCGGAGCGCTGCTGACGTCGACTGAGAAAATTGTCAGGCGGTGGAAGGAATACTTCGAGGACCTCCTTAATCCCACTGACACGTCTTCCGAGGAGGAAGCAGAGTCTGGGGATGAGGGGAATGACCCGCCAATTTCCAGGGGCGAGGTCACTGAGGCAGTTAAATAACTCCTTGGTGCCAGAGCCCCTGGTGTTGATGAGGTCCGCCCCGAGTTCCTGAAGGCTCTGGACATTGTAGGGCTGTCCTGGTTGACACGCCTCTGCAATGTTGCGTGGAGATCAGGGGCAGTACCTGTGGACTGGCAGATCGGGGCGGTGGTCCCCATCTTTAAGAAAGGGGACCGGAGGGTGTGTTCCAACTACAGGGGGATCACACTCCTCAGCCTCCCTGGGAAAGTCTATGCCAGGGTGCTGGAAAGGAGAGTTCGTCCGCTAGTCGAACCTTGGATACAGAAGGAACAATGCGGTTTTCGTCCTGGTCGCGGAACACTGGACCAGCTCTTTATCCTCTCCAGGATGCTTGAGGGTGCATGGGAGTTTGCCCAACCAGTCTACATGTGTTTTGTGGACTTGGAGAAGGCATTTGACCGTGTCCCTCGGGGTGTCCTGTGGGAGGTGTTGCGGGAATATGGGGTGTCTGGCCCATTGCTACGGGCCATTCGATCCCTATACAACCGTTGCAAGAGCTTGGTTCGCATTGCCGGCAATAAGTCGGACTCGTTCCCGGTGGGTGATGGGCTCCGCCAGGGCTGCCCTTTGTCTCCGGTTCTGTTCATAATTTTTATGGACAGGATTTCTAGGCACAGCCAAGTGGCGGAGGGCTTTCGCTTTGGTGGCCTCAGAATCTCATCTCTGATTTTTGCAGATGATGTGGTTCTGTTGGCTTCATCGGGTGAGGGCCTCCAGCTCGCACTGGAACGGTTCGCAGCCGAGTGTGAAGCAGCGGGAATGAGGATCAGCACCTCCAAATCTGAGGCCGTGGTTCTCAGCCGGAAAAGGGTGGAGTGCCCACTCCGGGTCGGGGATGAGTTCCTGCCCCAAGTGGAGGAGTTCAAGTATCTCAGGGTCTTGTTCGCGAGTGATGGGAGAAGGGAGCCGGAGATCGACAGACGGATTGGGGCTGCAGCTGCAGTAATGCGGACGCTGCACCGGTCCGTCGTGGTGAAGAGGGAGCTGAGTGTAAAAGCGAAGCTCTCAATTTACCGGTCGATCTACGTCCCTACCCTCACCTATGGCCACGAGCTGTGGGTAGTGACCGAAAGAACGAGATCGCGGATACAAGCGGCAGAAATGAGCTTCCTCCGAAGGGTGGCTGGCCTCTCCCTTAGAGATAGGGTGAGAAGTTCGGCCATCCGGGAGGGGCTCAGAGTAGAGCAGCTGCTGCTACACATCGAAAGGAGCCAGCTGAGGTGGTTCGGGCATCTGACAAGGATGCCCCCTGGGCGCCTCCTGGGTGAGGTGTTCCAGGCATGTCCCACCGGGAGGAGGCCCCGGGGCAGACCCAGGA